ATGGATTCTAAGAGAGATGTCACAGCTTCTCTCATTAATTTTAGAAAATGTTCTCGAAATCACTATCAATCACAAAAGCAGTCTCATTTCATCAATCAACATTTTCATCCCATGTAAAAAACAACAACAAAAAAATGACTTTCATTTAACTTTTTCTTTCTCCTCTTCTGATGGGCTTTTAGAAGCCTGAAGTCTGGGCGCATACATGATCTGTTTATTTTCTTTCTTCCAGCTTCTCCACCTCCTCCAGCAACTCGTTAGTTATGTTTTTTGACCCTGGTAGAGCCCAAATTAAGGTTCCGGAAAGTTTTCCTTTCTCCTCAGTAATTTATACTGGTCTGTGGCAAAGGCACAGTGCTATCTTTTGCTTTTCATACGTGCTGAAAGAAAACTCTCCTTAGCTGTGTAGGAAGGAATCAAATTATTGGTTGACAGTCCCAGCTTGGACTAAAAGAATAAAGGCCCACTTTAATTGCTTCTTTGAGGAGCTTGCCAGAGTTCTGTAGGGAACTCGGAGCATTAAGCTAGGCCATCAAGTAGCATTATGATGCAGCAGTTGTAGACCAGCGTACCATACTTGTACCATACTTATTGTACTTTAAATGTTGGCAGCAAACATTTTTGTGTGTGTGTTTATCATTTTTTCTCTAAATTCAGAAGCAGGAAGTCCACTCTTAAAGTAAGTCCATTTGTGGAATTCCATCTTGACCACCTCTGCAGGCTAGGAGACAAGTTTTTCCAAGTAGAACTGCCCCATGTTTTTGGATAGGACTATATTTCAGCAAAGTGTGTGTGTGTGTGTGTGTGTGTGTGTGTGTGTGTGTGTGAGTTGATTGTTGTTGATAGAAACAAACTTCAAAAATTAAGAGAAAGTACTTAAAGTCATCTTTTTATAAGAAAGAATTTTAAATATGGGACTTACAAATGACTGTGAAAGGAGTATTTTAAGCATGTCTTGAAATAAAATATTTTAGCTGGACACAGTGATTCATGCTTGTAACCCCAGCGGTTCAGAAGGCAAGAGAATTGTGAGTTCAAAGCCAGCCTCAGCAACAAATGGAGGCCCTAAGCAACTCAGGGACACTGTGCCTCTAAATAAAATACAAAAATGGGCTGGGGATGTGGCTCAGTGGTTAAGATCCCCTTGGTTCAACCGCTGGTACCAAAATAAATAAATAAATAAACAAACAAATAAATAAATATTCTAAGCTACAATGAAGTTGTGCTGTCTTATTGACTTAAAACACTCATAAACAAAATAGATTTTTCTTCCTTGAAAATCAAACATTCAGTTTAAAAAAAACAAAACAATAACAAAATATGAACTAATAAATAAACATGAATTAATAGATCACAGTGTTAAACAGGATACATTTATCTTACACCAGATACTGATATACTCTACATATTCAAAAGGAAAATTGGAAAGTCCTTATTATATTGTAAAATGACTGATTGCAAGCTTTACTTGAATTTCCACCTTTCATTTATTCAGTTAAAATAGTTAGCAATTTTCAATAATTATTTCAGGAAAACATACCTTTTAAATCTGTATTGTACAAATCTGAATCTTTGGAGCACACAGCACCATGTTCAGGGATAAGGGAGTACAATATGAAGTTAAGTGTTGAAGTTTATAATTTTACTAAGAGGGAAATGCTCCAGCCTCTAGTTAGTGAAAGGAACCCAACCAAGTGTTTCAGTAACCAGGAGGGCTGCCTATTATGTTAAACCTCATTGGAATTTACAGGTCACAGTCATGTCATGGTCCAGGTGGAGGTAGGTCCCTGATGGACTTTAGGATATTGGTGAATAAGCCTGTACGGAGAGAAAAGGATGAGGGCCATGTAAGGAGTGGGAAGGAGGCTGTGGAAAGACACAAATTATAAAATGATTGGGATGGGGAGGCAATGAGCATCATGTGTAGGAAAGGGTCAAGAGACTGACTTTCCTTGTGCTGAGGGTTCACATTGAAGAAAATGGCATATACCTCATGCAAGAGAGAGTCAAGGGCAGCAGTGGAATGGATACTGCACACAACACTGGCAGAAAGGAATGCTTGTGCTGTGGAAAAGGCTGTGAGGGTGCAACATTTTAGGCTAGTTCTTTGGGACTCAGGAGGGAAAGGAGGAGAGAGCAGGTTTGGAAAGAGAGTCTGATTCTAGAACTAAAAAGGGACATGTTCCTGGCAACCCTGCCTGTCTCCTCTTCCTAAAGATAATCTTTGCTGTAATAATTTGGTTACTTCATTCTCAAAATGTTATTAATTTATAACTAGTTATTATCTTTACTTAGGGGAAGTGAGTTTAAATGAATATAGCAAATCTTTGGTTTTTATTCTTTTCCTTCAATCTATATTCAATGAACACTTATGGTACGCTAGTTACCGTGTTACTTAATCTATAATGGCGGATTTGGGGATAATATAAAAGTCAGCAAGGAACATATTCCCCCCAAATTTTTGAATTTCAAGGTTGCAGTAGGCTATTACTGGAGCTAATTTTAAGGTCCATGTTTATATATATATATTTTTCTCTCTCTTAAACACACGTATACACACACACACACACACAGACACATATTTTTGGACAATTTTCTCCTTATGGTGATGTTTAAAATCTATTATATTAAAAATCATATTGTGTGTTCTGGTAAGACATCTCAAATACATATTGAGCAAGGCTGAAAACAAATAAAATCAGTTAAAACATTTCACTCAAAATCTTACCTATACAATGAACCGAAAGGTTCTCATTTCCATTTTTCTCCAAAGTTTATCTATATGAATATATAATATGCATATATTTATAGTCAGAGTGTTTGGGCAAAGGAAAAGAAAAAACAAAACAACAAGAAAATATCCTTTTTAAAGTAAGAATAACACAAAAGGGCTATCAATCCTCTCATGAGTCCCATTTTAGTCTCCCTCCTGGTTGGCCTATCTCCTCCATCCTGTTGGAGTAGAGCATCAGTCAGGTAGTTTGTCCAGAGCTTGAGCGTATTTAGCCAAGGTGGGTTGTGTGCTAAAAGGGAGGGGCCTGGCCATGTGCTCTCTGACTCATCCTCTTAAGCACACATGTTCATTTCTGCTATGGTTGGGCAACCTTCTGCAGAAGACAGAACCTGACTGTGACTTTTCTGGGCTGCAATGCACCATTTCCAAATTAGAGAAACTAACAAGCACTGGCAGTCATTGAGCCTTCAATAAATCACATGGGTGATAACATCATTATTGCCAGCTTTTGGCCCACACTCTGGTCCTTTCTCCAGTTTGGAGCTGGAACTTGGACTTCTGTGCTGTCTGATTCTGCCCCAGGCTCCAGAGCAGTCTGCAAGGGCCACTGAAGGCATATTAAAATGAAGCTGCTTTAATGACTACTTCATTCCCTGGCATTCTATGTTCAAAACTAGCATATACAACCCTGTGGTATACAGGAATTCAGAGTCAAGTTGGACTAATATAATTTGTAGAATCCTTTTCCTGGTGATTTTAGTTGGGAGGTCAGCAAAAGATGAGAAAGTACAACATAATTTTGAGCGTGAATTGTAATCATTTCTGTTGAATTACTAGCTTTATCATCACTGACAATGCCACTTCCCAGGGCCTCAGTTTCCTCATCTGTAAATGCTTAAGGCTGTGCGTATCAGCAAAGTAAGGAATATGAATGGCACAGTCCTTGGTCTTAGCAGGCACTTAGTATGTGGTTGATAGCTGTTTGCCAATGCCTAGGAGGTTGATAATGACCTCACTATGGCTGATATCACATCAAAGTACTCCTCATCTAAGATGAATAAGGTTCACTATCTGTGCCTCCCTCCTAGTAAAGTGAATGAACTGTACCCCTACTACCTAGATTACAAAGAATAACTTTCTACAAAAGCCAAACAAGGCCACTATTAACCCACTACATGTGCCACGTCTCAATCTTGACATCCTCTAATTCTAACTTCCAGGCAAATATTGTTTAGCTCAGGGAATTGCATATGAAGGCATAGTCGGAGCTATGATATCCATTAATGGCCATCATATGGCTTCAACCTATCCCCACATGTAAGTGAGCTAGGAAGAGCCAGAAATCCAACTATTTGATTCAGATCAAATACTGGTGATTTGATGCTACCAATGATGATGGAGTTTTAGGAATTTCTTTGAGGAACTGGTTCAGGCCAGTGCATTGGGCAGCAATAGAGCTGGAAAAGTGACATAATTTATGAGCATCCTCATCAGTTCATTTGAACTCTAAGACCTGCCCCTCCTTTCCAGGGCTTTTGTGAAGTTCACCCATGTATACATAGGCTCCTCCTAAGTGGTAAAACTCTACCAATAAAAGTGATTGCTGTTATTATGTTCTTGTAGTTTTGCAGGTGCTTGCTAGTTATTGATGGACTTTTCCCAACACTATTACTCCTGTGTAACTGAACTCCTGAAATGTCTACCATCCTTACTGACAAAGAACATTAAATTTTAGGGAATAAAGTCAATTTTTTCCATTGCTGTTATGGATATCACTATTCATGAGTAGGCAGAATTCTGCTGGTTGAGATATGACTCTAAGGAGGTTTATAAAATTTCTTATCTATGCTCAGTTCCCAGATATATTCCAGACAAACTTTCCAATAATTAAAATTTCCAAAATTGAGAACTTACTCCAATGTCAGTGTTTTAATGGAGTTACAATTCAAGCTCCACCACTCATGTATACTTTATTGTGAGTTGAATTCATCTAGTTATTTTAATAGATTGCCAAGACAGGGAAGGAAATGGATCCTGAGCTAATAGGGGTGAGGGCCAGAGAAGTCAGCTTAGAAACAGAACAAAATGCATGTACTGGTATCAGAAATTTTCACTTTGTGAATGGTAGAATGTTTGTCTAGTATCTAATAATTGCTTTTTCTCTAGTTCTGAGTGACTATAATTCACACAAAATTATCTAGAAATAAATGTTTCTGTATATAAGCCCAAATACCTAGGATTGAAGAAAGAAGAGAATGAGCCTTACCCAGCAGGTCTTGTGTCTTCAATGGCTCTGTCCACTGGGATCAGATCACTAAGGTAGACGTTGAAGTTTCCTTCCTTCCATCTTCGTTCTGCCTCTTTCTCCTTTCCAGGGGGAACCACCACAGGACGTCCAAACTGACCTGGAGCTTTAGGGTCTCTTGGAGAAAGTGTCACGTCTACTCGTAACACTTGGTGCATCCCCTGGTGTTGAGTTGGAGGGGCTTTTGTGTGACTTTGGTTGCGTTCTGCATGCTGTGCCTTGGTAGTCGAGTTGATTCTTGCAGTCCCCAGGCGCCCTCCTAAGGCTTTTTTGGTTTGAGACACTGTTGCCCTCTGTGAAGCAAGTGAAGACAGATCTGCCTCGCTCCTATTCCTGGAAATGTGTTTCTCTTGGCTTCCCCCCAATACTTTAGGTAATATAGTTTTGGTTTTAGAGTTGGAAACCTCGTTGGTGTTTGTCTTTAATTCCTCCTCTTTAGTTACAATCACAACATGGCTTTCAGGGAAGTCGAGTCTCTTCCCCTGAGCCACTTTGACTCCATCATGCTTTGGCATGCCTCCCAACCATGTCTCATTCATAGATGGCTTCTTTAAGTGACTGGAACTGGCAATGAACTTGAAAAAAGGAAGACCCTTATTGACTTTGTGTCTATTTGCATTTAGCTCTTTGCTCTGAGTCACAATTTGTTTTAAGGCTATGGCTTCCCTAGATTTGGGCACTGATGAGCCACCAGGGTGTGTCCTCTCGTTTGCGACTGCTTGTGATTGCTGCTTTGCTCTAAGAGTGATGGTCATGTTCAGGGCCCTTCCACCTGCTGGTTTTGATGTGTCACTGCTGAGATTATGACTCCTCTGGGCCTCCTGTTTTACACTGACAGGTCCTGTATGTACAGATATTTTGGCTAATGGAGTTCCTTTTGCCACTACAAATGGGGTTTTCCAAGCCCTCTGAGCTGTTGTCTGATTTGATGTCACCCGATGGAAGAAAATTTCATATTTGCTGTCTCTTCCCTCCATCTTCTGCTTGGTAAGGGTCCCTGTGAGGTTCTGTAGATGTGCAGGATACCACAAAGGTACCACTTTGTCCCTTCCCAGGTTGTTTTTCATTTTTCTTTGCCTCTGTGTTGGGTCCAAGTGATCCTGAAACTTGTGCACACTGTCCTCAGTCTTTCTAAAATTGTCTTTGCCCCAAGCCCCCTTCCCATGTCCCCTCTGGGGAGGCCTCGTCTCTTTGATGCTGCTGTAAAGGATCTTCATTTGGTCTGGCTGCACTCTGAATCCTATCTGCTCCCTCCTCACGATATCTTCCTTGAGGAGGCGAGTGTTGATCTCACTGAATGAGAGGCGGAGAGCTGCCATGTCAAAGAGCAGCCAGATGACAGAAGCCACAAATATAAATGCCAAGACTCGCCCACTTCCTCGGAAAAACTTTCGGATCTTGTTCATTGTACAAAGGCTTCCCTTGCAGCCTGCCCTCCCTTTGAGTCTGCTTACCTGGAGTGGAGAAAGAGATGAAGTAGCAGCAGCAGCAGCAGCAGCAGCAACAGCAGCAGGAGTTGCCAGAAAGCAAGCACCCCCTCCCCTGAACACAGCAGGAAACAGCAGTCCAGGGGGAAAGCTCAGCTCCTACCGCCTGTCAGTCTCTGCCTGCGTGGCATTTCACAGCAGCGCATCTGTGCCTGCTCCACTGGCCCTGGCTAAACCCTGGTAAACACTGACCTCGGGTCTCTCCGGGAGCAGACAATTGCAGCCACAGGACAGTTCAACATATCACTTGTCTTGTCTCCGGGAGCCCATGTCCACCTTTCTACCAGCCCAAGAAAAGGAGGGGGCCGGGTTGGGGCTGCTGTTTCTCTCCTCCCAGTTCTCCGCTGCTCGCTGTAACTCAACACCACTTCTCACAAGGAAAACATTTCAAGCCATTACCCAGAAAACTTCATTCAGCTTTCACCTTCCTTGTTATGGTGAGAGTGTGTGTGTGTGTGTGTGTGTGTGTGTGTGTGTGTGTGTGTGTGGTTTTAAGGGCAATTAAACAGAGAGCAAGCTATCTAACTTGGAGGGCATGTGTTCCTGGTTTGTAACCCCACCTACCCCACTCCTGCTCTTTAACCCTGTGGTACCCAGGTGCTCTAACTTTAATGCTTCATCTCGAAGAGGTTAATAACTTCAAGAAGGGGCGCAGCAAATACTCACTATTGGAGGTGGATGTTTACTTATTCAGAAGGTTTCCTGGAGGGTTATAAAAATATTTCTTTGTAAATCAAGCCATTCTTTTCTCACCAGTCCATCTGTTTTTATTACTGAACTGAATAGACACAAACTTAATTTGTCATATTGCTCTAAAAGTTTCTAGGCACGTTTGGTATGGTCTGAATGTTTGTGAGCCCACCAAATCCATATGTTGAGAACCTCATTACCAATGTGATGGTTTTAGAATGTGAAGCCTCTGTGAATTGATTAGATTATAAGAAGCCCACCTGAATGGAAATAGGGTCCTTAGAGAAGAGACCCCAGAGAGCTGCTTTGCCCTTCTGCCAAATGAAGACGGCAAGAAGACACCATTTAGGACAAGGAAAGGGGCCTCACTTGTCACCAGATTTTATGGTTCCTGCATCTTGAACTTCTCAGCCTCCAGAACTCTGAGAAATTAATTGATACTGATTAAAAGTCACTCAGGCTATGATATTTTGTCACAGCAGTTTGAATGACATTATCTGTTTCAATTATTATCTTGTTATGAACCAGTCACAGTTTGAGGATTGTATCAGGACTTGGACTAGACCCTGAGTGACCATGGTAAACTGATAGGACAGTGGTTACCACACAGACTTTACGTAAGAATCACTTGGAAGGAATTCCTCCAATCTCTGATTAATAAGGAGGATATAGAAAGGAAGTCTAGTGGAGTAGAGGAAGAGGGAGCAGGGGATGGGAGGGAAAGGAGATCATGAACTGAAATCAACTTTCATGCATGTGTGTGTTTGTTGGGATGAACTCAACCTATGGTATGTAACCCTAAAACTCTAAGTTAAAAAAAGATGATAGTTGATCTGTACATTTTTGGGTTTTTTTTTTTTTGTTTGTTTGTTTGTTTGTTTTTTTGGTACTTGTGATTGAACCCAGGGGTGCCTAACCACTGAGCAACATCCCCAGCCTTTATTTTATATTTTATTTAGAAACAAGGTATTGTTGAGTTGCTTAGGCCCTTGCTAAGTTGCTGAGGCTGGCTTTGAACTCATGATCTTCCTGCCTCAGTCTCCAAGGTGCTGGGATTACAGGTGTATGCCATTGTGTCTAGTTCATTTTTTATTTTGTTTTGGTTTTGAACAATGTCCAGGCAATGTATAATTTTGCATGTCCCCTTGATTGCACTAAGAGATACTCTGACAGCTGGTAGCGCCTTATTTCTTTACTGTGGGGGTGTTGCTGGATGAGATTTGTATTTGAACCTGTGGAGTGAGAAAGAAGAAACTTCTTCACCCAATGTGGGCAGGCCACACAGCATCCAATTGGTTGAGGGCTCAAATAGAATTAAAAAAACAAACAAACAAAAAACAGGAAAGGCAAATTTGCTTTCTCTTTGAGATGGAATGTTCAGTTTTTCTTGCTTGAACATCAGAACTCCAAGTACTCTGGCTTTTGGACTCTGGAACTTATACCAGTGGTCCCCTAGCTTCTCAGGCCTCTGGCTAGACTGAGAATTACACTGTTGGCTTGTTTTGTTTGGAGGCATTTGGATTTGGACTGAGCCATGTTACCAACTTCCCTGGTTCTGCAGCTTATAGACAGTATATTGTGGAACGTCTCAGCCTCCATAATTGTGTAAGCCAAATATCTCCTCTTGTCTATCTATCTATTCATCTTATTGTTTCTCTTTCTCTGGAGAATATTGACTATTATAGCCCACAATATATTTTTCCTCTCTCTCTGGTTTGTACTTATATATAAAAACACAAATTACTTGCTACTGGAAAGAAACATGTTAAAAGAATTAAAGGGGAGTCTTTCTGGTAGATAGGCTTAGTTTTCAGCCTCTTTGATATACAATTTAGAAGGACATATGAAGACTATATAAGATTGACCAAGTCCCAAGGAATGAGGAGTAGACTGATAGACCTATTCTAAAGTATGACTTGGCTCTGAGTAGCCATATAACGGTGGGTATTTCACACGTTGAGAGAGCTCCTGTAAGAGTCTCTTCACAGTCTTTTTTCCCTTGCTGAGTCTATAGGAATCTGTGAGAATGGAAAAAGTTATTTATAAGCAATATTACACACTCAACATTGTGGGTCTTCAGAGATTCAATGGTAATTTCTGATGGTCCTGGCTGGTCATACATCTATTCTTACTCTTCTCTTTTCTGGACACACTTGATGTTTTATATTTCAGATCAAGTAAAGGTAATATAAACAAGAAACCAGAAAATTTAGGTATTCTACCTTTAATAGAAGTCCGTATACTCGTTGCCAAAGAGATGCACTTCCATTGGATTAATTTCCATGTGAGTAGCAGAAAACTAAATAGGTAAGGCAGTTGATTATTTGAAGTATTTTGCAGTTGGAGAACCTGGCTGTCCTCCAAAACCATGGAATTCAGGGAGATTTTCTGGTTAAATTCTCAAGAATAAGCATATACTTTGTTGGAGTGGAGAACAGTATGAAAATCTGGAGGTATAAAATAATTCTGGAGAGGCTTTTGTCTGGATTATTCCAATTACCAATCTCACTCCATATTCATAGTAAAAAATTAAAAATATATTTTTGTTTCTTCTGTAAAGTATAAAAATAGGAGGGCCTGCCCTTTAGTCTACATGCTGGCTGCCAAGATAATAACATAAATAGCAACTATTTATTGAGAATTTACTGAGCACCTGCCATTAGACTAGTCACTTAACATTAATTATTTCATTTAACCTTGACATTTAATTTCCACAGACTAGATCATAAAGTTTCACACATACCATCAGCACCATTAACTGTAGTCATCATGCTATATATTAGCTTTCCAGAATTTATTTATCAGATGTAACTAAAACTTTGTACTGTTTGTGTCTCCATCGTTCTGACCCCAAGCCTCTGGTAAACACCATTCTACTATCTATCTCTATGAGTTTGACTTTTAGATGAAACCCATGAGACCATGTAGTATTTGTTTTCCTGGGTCTACCTTATTTCACTTAGCACAGCATCCTCCAAAGTTATCATATTGTTGCAAATGACATGGTTTCCTCATTTTCAAAGGCTGAATAATATTTCAGTACTGTATTTTCCTTATCTATTCATGTACTGATGGACTTAGGTTGATTCCATGTCATGCTATGGCGAATACTATTGTAGTGAACGTGGAAGTGCCGACATCTTTTTTTCTGACGATTAGTGTGGTGGAAAGTGTTTTAGACACCTGTTGGTCATCTAAAGATCTTCTTTTCATAGCTATTCAGGTTTTTTACCCCTTTTTCAATTGGGATATTTATTTACTTGTTATTGGGTTTTTTTCAGTTCTTTGTTAAATAGTAGAATCTCAATAAACATAGCCGTGTATTTTGGATAACTCCTTATCAGGTATGGTTTGCAAGTATTTTCTCCCATTCCACAGGTTGTCTTGTCAGTGTGTGGACTGCTTTCCTTTGCTGCTCATCAGCTTTTGTAATTGCTGCAATACTGTTTGTTTATTTTTTCATTTGTTACCTGTGCTCTTGGAGTTAATGTTTGGAAAGTCATTGCCTAGATCAATGTCAAGAAGCTTTCCCCCATTTATTTTTTTTCAGTAGCTTTAAAGTTTCAGGTATTTTACTTAAGGCTTTAAACAATTTTGAGTTGATTTCATCCCCAAAATGAATTTAGCAAATAATCCTGTTAACAATAACATATAAAATATTTAAGGAATAAGTTGAACCTAGGAGGGATAAGATTTGTATACTGAAAAATATAAAATATTGATGGAAAAAATTGAAGACTAACAAATGGAAATATATCCTGTGTGCATGGATTAGAAGAATTAATATTTTTAAGATGTCCATACTACTCAAAATGATCTATAGATCTAATGCAATCCCTATCAAAATTCCAGTGGCATTGTTCATAGAAATAGAAAAAAAGTCATCAAATTAATGTGTAAACCCAGGAGAATCTAAATAGCCAAAGCAATCATGAGAAAGAAAACAAAGATAGAGGCAATTTACTACCTGATGTAGTAGTGATAATGCAAAGCTATCAAGACAGTGCAATACTGTTGTAAAAACAGATGTACAGACCAATGGACTAGAATAGAGAGTCCATAATTAAAGTCACATATTTACAGTCAAATATGGACTCTGGAATTTATATCAGTGGTCCCCTAGCTTCTCAGGCCTCTGGCTAGACTGAGAATTACACTATTGGCTTGTTTTGTTTGGAGGCATTTGGATATGGACTGAGCCATGTTACCAACTTCCCTGGTTCTGCAGCTTATAGACAGTATATTGTGGTGTAGTGGTGCATGCCATAATCTCAGCAACTCTGGAGGCTGAAGTAGAAGGACTCCAAGTTCGAGGTCAGCCTCCACAACTTAGTAAGACCCTATCTCAAAATTTAAAAAATAAAATAAAATAAAATAAAAAAAGTGCTGTGAATGTGGCTCAATGGATAAGCATCTCTGGGTTCAATCTCCAATTCCTAAATAAATAAATAAATAAATAAATAAATAAATAAATAAATTTGAGATCACATTAAGGGACTAAATCACTGTCTTAGAAGAATGTATTGTAATACAAGCTAAAGGAATAGAAAACTTTTTCAAAGAAGTAATATCAGTAAAATTTCCAAACCTTAGGAATGTGATGGAAATCCAAAAATCCAAATACAAGAGGCATTTAAACTCACAAATAGTCATGATAAAAAGATCTTCTCAAAGGCACATTATAATTAAAATGGTTAATATACAGAACAAGGATAGAGTTTTTAAA